ACATATGAAAATGTGAATGTGTGTATCGCGATTGTGTATACCCTCTACACATATGTATTACGTTTATTAAAATTTGTATTCAAGTCAGAATCATCCAAATGTCTCATACATTTTATGGCGGCTAAAAATATTTTATCATAGTCCCGTTTTCTGGAGCCATAGTATACATAGATTCCATTTCGCTATATCATCTGAAAATCGAGGTAAACTATGTATGCACATACATATTATTTATGTGCATTAGGGTGGTCCAAAAATGCATGTGAAAGAGTAAAGTCGGAATTTTTATGCGCTCACCTCCTAGGATTGTTCTATACCAAAAAACATATACCCTTATTTTTTTATTTTGAAATCAAAAAATATTTAGAGGTCGCTCAAAGCGCTTAAAGTTTTCCATGTATTTTATGTGGGGAAAAAACAACGTTTCCTGGAAATGGTATAGAATAGTTTAAAATCAATATTTTGCTACCAGAAAACCCTGTTTATCTGCAAGATATTCCCAGAAATAATACCCAATGGTTTATTTAACCATTTTTTTATTGCAACTATAATTTATAGGTCCGCCAAAAACCAACAAAAACCCCAAAAATGCAATGGGGTGACCAAGAAAAATCGTTAGTATTAAAAAATGGTTAAATAGACAATTGGGTATTATTACTGAAAGTCTCCTGAAGAGAACCAGAGTTTTCCGATCGAAAAATATTGAAAACTTTGAGCACTTTGAGCGACCTCTAAATATTTATATAAATAGATGTAGAGGTATATTTTTTTCCGTATAGAAAAATCCTAGGGGGCGAGAGCACTACAATCCGACTTTACTGTTTTTGGACCACCCTAATGTACATACATAAAAACCAACATGCGCACTCCCAAAGTGTTGGCGGCGCGAGAAAATTTGCACGGCAATGCGAAAATTCTCTCATAAAATTAATGTTAAACATTCTGTATGTTCATACATATATGTATATACAAAAATAGACTCTTCTGTGAGAGAATGCCCTGTTGGAAAAATTTAGCATAACATATTAGAAAACCAAATTTTGGGACACTTTAATATAAAAACACAAAAATCTATCCTATTTATTCAACATTTTCGATGCAGATCTTCAGCACTTTTAAGATAGAGACGATGTTGGAAATTTTACACCAAAAAACTTTTCTCTGACAGTGGTGTAAAACGTAAACCACGTCAGCATAATATAGCAGGTATCCTATTGAAGAGGAATTTGTTAGTCTTTGTTGGGTCAAGATTCCGCGATCACACAGAATGTGCTCCGACCGGTTCGATATTCAGTGAAAGGATGGTTGGTTGGTTTGCACTGCTTCATAGTCGCTGCCCTGGGGGTCAATTCCCGTTCTGCGTTATCGTGAAGTGAAGTGAAAAGAGTCAAAAGTTCACACCGAAATAAGAGTCAAAAATTCACACCGAAATTTTTTCGAAATAGTTCGCTTTAGAAATCTTATGTTTGACACCCACAATATTGTAATATTTTATTTAACCTATGATTTAATTAACTATAACTTTATATATAACAAACATACTCACACACTCACTCAAAAGCTTTGTTTTCTAAAACGCCGAAATATCTATACAAAACGCTTACACTTTTTTGTTAATGGTATTAGACTCTGCCTTTAAAGAAGTTGCTACGTGAAACTACGTAATTTCAAAAAATTTATCTTTGAATATTTCTCCGATAAAGTCGCATGATAAGTTGGTTATAAATTTTCGCTTTCTTTTATGGTTTATATGTATAATAATTGTTATTGTTGTGTAAGCCTTTAATAAATAAATAAAGAAGTTGGTCATAAATTTTCTATTTGGCTTTTCTACATTTTCATATGATTATCATGTTACCTAGTTACCGTTTATATTAATATATACATACATCCTAGGGTATTCCTTAAAATAGCAACATTCAAATTTTGTATAGGCATCGCTTTATTTAGTTTTACGTACAAAATAAATACATCCACCAAAAATTCAAAAGTTTAAAAAAATTTTTAGAGGGGTTTGAAAACATTAAATTTCTTTGAATCACAAAAATTCAACAAAATATCGACTTGAAATCCAATAAATTTGAGATATTACTGAAACTTTTTCGTATAAATTCATAAACTTGTCATATTCAAAATTTTTCCGATTTAAAACAAAATTACATTCTTTAAACTCTGGTAAGGACCCCAAAATTTGTTTTTTTTTTTTAATAGAAAGTTTCTTGGAGTCTTTTTTTTTTTGTACGTAGCACAAAATAGGGAGTGGGTCATGATGTTTATATTTTTAAGGACCACCCTAATAATAATAATAATAGATTAGCGCTTACACATATGTTAGTGTTTGGCCGAGCTTCTCCTCCGATTTGTGGCGTGCGCCTTGATGTTGTCACACAAAGCGGAGGGACCTACAGTTTTACGCCGACTCCGAACGGCGATTGTATTTTTATGAGAAGCTGTTTTTCATGGCAGAAATACACTCGGAGGTTTGCCATTGCCTGCCGAGGGACGACCGCTGTTAAGAAAAAACATTTTTTCTATATTTTTTGCGATGTAGCTTTGACCAGGGTTTGAACCCAGGAGATGCGGAGTGGAAGCGCGCACTGCTTACCACTACACCACAGCGGCCGACGGACCACCCTAATACATACTTGTTTTTATAAACTTAATTGTAACTATATTTTTTTTATTTAAATATATATGGATGTACTTATCAGTGCTCTGAATTGCGCAATAAAAGATTAAATCTTAATGCGCTTATGTACTTGTTAAACAGTAATTTAGCGCATAAAGATTTAATCTTTTGTAAATGAAACGAAATTGCAATTATATAGAGGCTTCTGCTGATTAAACAAAAAAAATCCATCTTAACATTTTTTTACACATTTACGACATTTATGTCCTGTAAAAATCGGTATCGAATGAAAAGACTGGCGATAATGTCTCCAATAAATAATGAAAATATTCTTGTTTAAGACCTTATATATTAATGAGACTAGGATTTGTCAAAAGTTTAGGCTTTAAGCTACTCTACCACCCTGCCGTGACACACAGCTACGGCTCTGAAACTAAAGAAGGAATTGGCAGACCGCAGCCTAAAACTGCATCACATATTAGCCGGTGTGCAGCAGGTCCGGTTGCAGCAGGTCCAAACACGATCTGAAAAAATCTCTAAAAAAGCGATAATGAGAATCAGAGAACCACACTGGCCATCTGGTCAAATGATCTACATACATATGTATGTCGTTTTGGCAACTCAGATGCAGAGACGCCGTTGCACCTGTTCCTTGGCTGTAAGGCCGTTTTAAGACGAACAGAGAGGAATCTAGGCTCAATGTGGCCTCAGAATGAGCACATACACCTACCGCCAAAAGCTCTTCTAAACTTTGTGGGGAAATTAGGACTAGACGAAATTTCAAGAGTCGGGAGCACAATATTAACTCGTTTTACAAGTTTTTATTATGTTTTACCTGTGTGTATTACAATTTTGCAATAGTTTATGGACCGATATGGTTCATATTTTGAATGTATAGTATATGTATGTATTACCTACTTGAAATTGAATAACTATAAAAAAAAATGTACCTGATAGGTGGCGCAGCGGCCGAGATATTTGGAAAACCCATATCTATGGTGCGATTTGTTTCATATTTAGAACGTATATTACGTTATTGGAAAGAAATAAATCCACAAAAAAATTTGCCGTTAGGTGGTGCGGGGGTCGATTTTTTTACTAACCACTAATAATAGTTTGCCTTTAAACCATTATTTTTAAATTACTTATTTATTAAGCGAAAATTTAGCACTGTTTCTTAATGAATCACTTAAAATTCTATACGCTAAATTACACTTTATTTTCGCCTTCAACTTCGTGTTTACGAACCGCTACACTACTCCGAGGGTACTGCGCAGTTGGCGTCGCGCAGGCCTGCTTGGGTTGGAAAGGGTTATGATAAAAATTGTAATTTATTTGTTTAAATTGGGTTCATGTTTTTTTTTCGAATGTATTTTATCACTATTTTAGGATCCCTGTATTTAAAAAGAATAGTCTTACTATAAGGCTCTAATTTTTCTGATTAATTATAACCAGGCACGGAAAATAATCAATATTTTTTTCTAATTGTAGCCAAAAAAAAAAACAAGTTGTATGCGTCGTAAAACATTTTATCTATTAATAAAATACAAACATATTTGTACTCGTAAGATCTACTGAACTCTACAATGATTTTTATTTTCGAGTTTAACTATGAAAAATTAAAAATAATAATTAGTATTCGTGTTTATTTTTGTTGTTTGTTCAAAAGAAATTATTATTTCCTGATTTTTACTTTTTCGATTAAAAATAATGATTATACAATAATTTTTATTTTTTCTTTCAAAGATAATGATTATTTTTATTGAGCTTTGTACCACGATTGTTTATTAGGAAAAATTGAAAAAGCATTATTATTGAGTTTTATTTTCTCACTTAAGAGTGATTACTCAAAAAACTCATATACAGTATTGGCCAATACAATAGCACCCCCATTTCAAAGTGATATTGTTTGCCACTCATGTTTATTTATTTATTTTTAAGAATTTTCAATTAAAATACAGTTCATTCTCTCACAAAACTCACATAAACTCAAGCTTAAAACTTTTTAAAAGACCGCAAAAAAGTTCAACAAATTTTCACCCAAATTTCAATCTTTTTTCTCAGAAGCGGTATTGCACATTAAATTATTTAACCATATAGCTCTTCCAAAACAACAGAGTTTTCACATTATTCGCTGAAATATTTCACAAATTTGATATTCAAGCTCTACAGTTTCAACAACGAATTTCGACCAAAGTCACCAAAGTTGAATTTTGAGGGATGGGTAACAGAATTCCGACTATTCAACTTTTTCCTACCGGGTGTGTGCTATTGCTGAATAGTGTGTGTTTGTGTGCGCTTCCATGCCTTCCGCTGACAATTCGATAGTTGACTTAAATTTTCTTTTCATTTATGGCAAACTTAAGTAAAGTAGTTTGTCCATTGAACAGTTCTCGACGAGAGCTCCAGCTGAACGGTCGGTTTTGAAAAACTAGCAATCGAGAGACGACAATTGGTTAAACGCGCTTTAAGCTGCTGCTATGCATTAGGGTAAAACACTGTATTTTAATAAAATACAAAAAGACTATAAACATAAAAAGTGCATAAAAATTACTACATATATATGTACATATGTATGTACAGAAATGTGTTGATACATATTAAATGCATTTCTGCGAGGTGACACAAATATTTGGATAATTCGTGAAAAAGTGCAAAATAAGCGAAAAGTACAAAAGTTCAAAAGTTCTTGCATTTAAAAAAAAAAAAGAACAAACAAAACAGCGTAAAAAAAATAATAATAAAATCAGTGCAGAAAAATGACTGAAAGATATGCTAATGGTGTTACCAACAGTCTGGTGAATAGTTCGCCACCTGTTACAAACAATGGTGCAGCTGCCGCCTCCGTCGCCAATGGCCATGGCAACGGTAATGCTGCAGTCGCCGCTGACTACTCGGACGACGGTGATAAAATCGTATTAGAACGTAAATTGACGCTAATGAATGGAGTTGCTATAATTGTGGGTACAATTATTGGCTCGGGAATTTTTATAGCGCCAACAGGTGTCTTCATATATACAGAGTAAGTAGATGAAATTAAATTAATGGCTATTTAATTGATTTATTGCACTAAAAATTAAATGAAATCTGATCTCTGTGTAGTATTTAAAGCGAGGATTTAAGCAAAAATAATAAAAAAAAATTCTCTTTAAAGGTGAGGCCATGAGAGTCAGAGAAGCTGAACTGCATTTAAAAATAGAAATGTTGCCTTAAATATAGTATAACTAGAAAAGTATTACTTATAGTGCAATATTTTTTCGATATTCACAATGTTTTCCATGGTGTTTTTTTTTTTGATTTCTTATAAAAATATGGCTCATTCTACACTGAAATCCGTGTAAATCCAAATTTCAAACTTTTGAAAAAATTAAGGAAAATTTAACAAATTGTTATCAAAATTTCCAAGTTTTTAATCAGATATAAAGAAGAGTATATGTACATTTAATAGCCCATTCAATTTTAGTATAACAACGTAAAAGTTTGAAGTTGCAAAAAAAATCCGTTGATGTTTTATAATTTTTATTTGATGACGGTGTTAAGCATTTTCTTCTATATCGAATGAGCATGCTCCAATTTTTTGTGATAAATTTGATTAAAAACTCTGAAATTTTAAAGCTCTTTTGACAGAGAGCACTTGCGCATGTTCCATTCGAGAGAACCGAGGTTCGAGTCCTCGGGCAAGGGCTTTGTTATTTCATTAATTTTTACCTTCTTTCTTATTTAGTTTAAAGCATTAAAATTTAAAAAGAAAAATACATATATATATTTTTTAAATTTCATTTAATTTTTAGAAACGTATGTTATGTACATGTTTTTAATTCTTAAATAAATTTTTTTCGTCATTTATTTAATTTTAGATTTCTTAAATAACGTTTGTTTTTGTTTATCGGCCTTTAAATTGTAAACTGATGTAAATTTTATTTGATAAGCTCGAGGCTCAGAGAATACATAATACACAGGTTTTAGTTCAATAATTTTTAATGTCGATATTTCGACCTACCTCGGGCCTCGAGCTTATCAAATAAAAATTAAATAATTTTTCTAAATAAATAAATAAAAAGATTATTATTTAAGACCACTGCAAAAGTGTTATTTATTGATTTTAACTCTTTCGATGACGAATAATTCGATCAAAATAAACAGTATTTTAAAATAAATTTTTTATTTTTTTTTATATTTAGATTTTATTGTTTTAAAAAGAAAAATTTTTTTTCTTCATTAAATTAAAAAAAAAATTGTTTTATTTTAAATGGTTTTTTATTTTCTTTTTTTATTTAGTTCTATTTTAATTTTAAGATTTTATTGTCTTAAAAGATTTTTTTTTATAATTTAATTTTTAGTAACTTATTTTATTTTTCTTTTTTAATTAATAAACGTTTATTTTTTGAATTTATTTTTAGTTTATGCAGTTTAGTTTAGTTTAGTTTCCGATTTTCCATTTTTAAATTTTGTTTTTTATTGCTTAAAAAAAAAATGAATTTGTTTACCTAATTTTATCTTTAGAAAACGTATTGCTAAACAATTTCAATTAGTGTTTTGAAAGACAGAAAAGAGCTTTCAAGATACGAGTTGCCAGACTTGACAATTGTCTCACTCTTACTAAAGATTTTTGTCGTTTTGGTGAGTTGAAAGACATTTGCCATAACTGCTCTATTAGTCTGTAACAACGACAAACGGGACCACCATTTAACGAAATGTCGATTACTTATCAATATATGATAACAAACACGCAACGACAACGAAACTAGTTTTGCTAACTGTACACGATATACACATAGTATGTAGATATCTGTGCCAGAGAAATTGATTTTATTAATTAATATCATAATCTGTGCTAATATTTTAGTTCCCGTCCACGTTATATGGGTGGCATGTTTTACGTCAGAGCATCGATAACGGCAACTTTCTGGCCACCATAATGGAACATACTTTTATGAAAAATTTAACTGGTACACCTTTTCCAAAAACAAAGGAGTATAGATTGATTTTAATATGTAGCACAATACATCGCGACCTAGATATCAATTGTGCCCTCTATTCTTCACATCACTTCTTTTAAGCCTAAATTCCACAGAAAGTTAGAAGAAGTTATGAAGAGGGAGATAGAGATAATTTGCTCATAATGTCCGGGGTCGAATCGCAAAAGCGACAAAGATCATTCACACATATTCTAAGCTCATTCTGATTCCTTCTAGATGTAAAACCCACATTCAGCATAAGAGATTTCGGCTTGTAATTCTAAGCAACTTTGCCGAAGAAACCATGGGTCTAAAATCAATTAGGAGTTTGCCATATTGCGAAAATAGGTTTAGAAGAATACACAACTTCACGAGTTCTCCATACGTTTCTAACTTCAACATCTTATTTTTCTCAAATTACTTTTTGTATAACTAATAAATTTGCTATAACAATTCATGTAAAGTGAATGAAATTCCGCTGATATGGATCATAGAACGGCCTGACCCCGCCCACTAAAGATGAAATGCTGTATCTTAGTAGCCGCTTCACCAATCCTTCCCAAACTCGGTACGAGCCTTGCTTAAGGCCTAGCTAAGAAATCTGTTGAAAATCTGTGAAATCGGGCAATAACCACGCCTACCTCCCATATAACGGTAATTTACAGAAAGACGAAAATTGCGATAAATCCCTAACTACTGAAGCTAATTGACTCAAAATCGATAGTTACATAACCACTTAGCACAAAATTAGATTATTATGCACTTTTGGATAATGGGCGTGGCCCATTATGACCACAAATTTGTATCTCGGTAACTTATTCATCAATTTCTACCAAACTCGACCGAACTTATACTTCTTTACTTGTTCTTATTTATCAATTACTAAATTTTCTTGCTTGGTATGGTATACAAAAAATCCCGTTTTTCGACAGAAAGTCCCATTCGCCCTTTTATTCATAAAATCCCGAAAAATCCCGTAAATTTCGCAAACTGCTGGTAACACTGATCCAAGTCAACTTCTATCCAAGGGCACAATAGATCTCCTGGTCGCAGTGCATTCATCAACTGAATAACTATCTATCTATCTATCCTGCTGTCCAACAACGAGGACCAAAAAGCCTACGGTAAAGAAGAGCCGACGGTAAAGAAGAGCCGAAGCCCTCGATATACCTTGATTCGGTTACTTTGAAATAATCTCCCCAAGGACATTCTGTGTAACCTTTTCACCCGCATGTGACTTCATTCTGCCAGCTGATATCAAAGGATTAGCTTTAACTTACGTAGACGCACCTTAAATGATGTGTTTCATACAAATGTCCATGGTTTTTTAGTTCATTCCTGCGAGCTTAACGAAAAATGAAGGTTCCTATAGCAAATACCGCTAAACTTGGTGACCCTATGCACTTATTAAAATAGCTTCCTTTCGAAATACTACACCACTCCGAAATCTTCTTAATTGGAAGCTGGTAGGGAAGAAGCCGCTCGAAACCAACCTAAAGGTAGACTGTGAGATCCAAGCGATAAAAAACTGAATGTTTCTAAGAACTTGCAAGTGCAAGTGTGTGTAGCGCAAATGGCTAGTGTGTAAATAGTGGAATTGGCTTTCAACTAGGGCGGGGAGTTTAATCCACATTTTTTGAATGTCCGTACTCTCCGAATAGCTGATTAAAAAATCCGAAACAAAATGAGCTGATACTAACCGGTTAGAAAAATGAATGGATATTCGGAAAATAAAATAACGAATATTAACCAATTATACGAATATCAATTAGAACGAATGTTAACCGGATATACGGATAGAAAATTAAACGGATATTAACCGGATATCTGACAAAGAAAATATAACGGATATCCGGATAAAAAAATAAAATACCGAAAAAAATATGTCAGATAAAAAATTAACGGATATTAACTAGCATTTGTATGTACGTAGATATGTATTATACATATGTACATATAATATTCTTCAACTATTCCAAGGTTTTAGTTGATTTCAGTCCTATTCCCTTTCAATAGTTGGCCCAAGACTACAATTCACTGCACCAATGCGTTTTATTTTTCATAGCAAAAAGTATGTGAAAATTCCATAGTCCGCTCGCGTACCTTCATAATCTTATAAATGGGCTATAAATCAACGCTCGTTTGAAATTTCATTAATTGACTCAATTGCTATTATGTAGGCACATACATATGTACATAAACATATAAGTATGTACTTCCATTTGTATATGTGTATAAAAATATTGAAACACTTATTTAATCAATTTCGTAAAGAAAAATTTATCCTCCCTTTCTCAGTGGCAATTCAACAATACGACGAATTTGCTAAAAAAAAAAAAAAAAAAAACTTACCCAATTTATGGTTATTATACTTAAGGTTTACAGTAAATAACTATATATATATGTACATACATACGCAGGAAATTTCCAAAGATTTAATTGATAATAAATGAGAATCTGAGACTTGGAAGTTTGCATACTTAAATTAAATTATTATTCAATCATTTTCAATTTAAAGGTCTTTAAACCCTCCAAAACAGACAGAATTTCCGAAAAACGATTGCAAAATTAAGTTACTACTACAAATGAAAATTCTTGTATTGAGTAGATATTCAAACAAGTTTGCAATTTCCAAACAAAAAACGGCGAAAAACATAAAACAGTCAAATCCATAACTGGCTTCGAAGAACTCATTCGCAATCACACAAACTGCCAGTTACATACATACATACATGCATACATACATATGTAAGAATTTCAAGCTACACTTTCATCAAAAAAGCGTGTAATTTAAAGTAAATGTAGTGTACATATATGCAGCTAGTAAGTTATGCAAGTGCAGCAGAGTTTTCATTAATTCTTTGCAACTAAAATCAAATATTTCGGGGAATACCCGTGCGTATACGTATCATTTATGTACTTTGCATTGGTCGCGTCTAGCCGCAATAATTGTGTGTTAAACATTTTTAAATTGTTGCTTTTGCTTTTGTAGCTATTTCTGATTTTTTGCTTCTATTTTAAAGATCTGTGGGTTCGTCTTTGGTCATTTGGGCTGCCTGCGGCATACTCTCGACGATCGGTGCGCTGTGCTATGCTGAATTGGGTACGAGCATCACGCGTTCGGGTGGCGATTATGCATATCTGTTGGTGGCATTTGGACCGCTAGTCGGTTTTCTGAGACTATGGATAGCTTTGTTAATCATTAGACCAACAACGCAGGTAAGTTGTACATATATATTTATTATCGAAATGTAAGATATGAGCATATAAATAGTATTTATATACATACATATATGTATTAGGGTGACTCATCAAAAAAAAAGTTGCGTGTTTTTCACTGGAATTAGAAGATTTACGTGCTAGACCGAGCTGAAAATATGTACCTCCAAAAATTTAAATATGTATTTTGACTCCATTGGTAAAATTTTTAAACCTTTTTATGCACACGTTTTCAGCTTAAACTCTTCTATAATATGAGGTAATTTTTGGAAAAGAAAAAATTTAAAGACTAGCCTTGCTTATGACTAAACCGAGGACCACACTCGGTTGGATGTATCTTCAAATGTGTCCAGCTCGCGCAATATTAATTTTTTCCCCGAAATATTTTGGCGGAAGTCATAAAATGTGATAGATTATAGGTATAATTCCAATGGACAGACACTACCGTTTTTTTTTATGGAAAGTGATGCACCCTAATGTACATAGATGCACATATCTATGTATATGTAAATGATAAGGTAAAGAAAAATCACAACAAATTTTAATATTAACAAAATGATGTACATACATATATATCGGCGGCTGAGTGGAAGATCGTCCTAGAGCGGCAGCCTGTTCGCAAACTTTTCAAGAACGCCCTATTTCAGAATTTGGTTGAAGAACGCCCCCTCTCGGAATTTGATTGAACAATGCTTTATTTCACAATTCGGTTTAAAAACGAACATATCTCAACATATTTTCAGTTGAGATAGGCCGTCTTTTGAACCATATTCTGATATAGGTAGGTTCGCATTCAAAATTTGTGCAAGAATTAGCAAAATTGGAGAGTTTCATCAAAATTTCAAGTTTTTAATCTGCATTTTTATAAAAAAAAAGTCTTCGAATGCAATTTTATAGCTCATTATACTAGAATAATAATAAAGTTTTAAGTAGCTTACCTTTGATTTTTGGAAATTTTTAACGTTGATTTTTGCAAATTCTGTCAGCAAAAGAAATCAACGTCAAAATCAACGCAAATTCTTAGCCATTTGAAACTTGCACAATATTATTCGAAAATTGCATACGCAAGTTTTTTCTAGAAACTCTTAATAGAAAGTTTGAAATTTTAATGAGCATTTTTTGGAATTTGGCGAATTTCTTTAAATCTTTTACAAGGTTTTAAACTTGGTTTTCGTTGTGGTAAAAAAATATATTAAAAAAGTTAAAACTAAATAAAAAAAAAAATTAATGGTCACAACTTGTTCGTAATTATGTGGCCACCACTGTAGATCTTTGTATTTTTGGATTTGGACCCACATACATTTATAACGACAGTACCCCGAATAGGGATGAAGACCTTAAGCGCATTTAAGTTTATTCGGATAACTTTTTCATTTTCAGTAGCACTTTCTGTATAATAGAATTTTTGCTTAACATTTTTGTAGAAACTACACCTCTCTATCTGTCACTTTTAATTATATAACATGGAACTCCTTTAAAATAGGGACTTAAAAAGCCCTTTAGGGTAAGAGATAGAGGTTTAAAATCTTCTGCAAAACAAGTAATTTTTAGCAAAAAAAACCGACTTAAAAAAAATATATATATCTATATATTTCATGATTCAATGATCGGATCTAAACCAAATTAGTATGGCACCACCTCTGAGACACTACCTTTCGTTGCAAAAAGAATTATCGAAATCGGTTGATGTGGTCCAAAGTTATGCGGTAACATACATACAAAAAAAAATATATTCCGTCGAACTGATGATCTCCTCCTTTTTTGGAAGTCGGTCAGAAATTATTATTTAAGTTGTTTTATACATAATATTCTCGACAAACTGATTCCACTTTTCGCCAAAATGTTAAAACTTTAACCCTCTCTTCGGCAAAGTAGGTCCAGGGAGACATTATCTTTCCTAATATATAGCGTTTGTTCGTGTTGAGTAACCAGTGTTGGACAGCGTTATCTAAATACCTATCTATCTAATTATCTTACTTTAACCTTTTACTTTCGAAAACACAAATAAACGTTACTTTACAGCTTCCTTTTACTTTTGCAGTGGAGTAGGTCAAGTTTAGTAAGTTCGCTAGACCAATAATGCATATCAATTTGACGGATACATTGAATGTCAATATATGTATGTGTGTAGTCGCATTAATCATTAAATGTAAATATGAAGATTACATTGTGCATACAAGCATACACTTGCGGTCAGACAAACGTAACCACCACTTAAAAAATTAGCCTTAGTTTGTGAAAATTAATAAAAAAAATAAACAAAAACTATAAAAATAAAAGATTTAAACTTCATACAACAGTTGGAAAAATTCATCAACTTTAAAAATTTTTACAAAATTTTCGGGTACTTTTTTTTTGCCAACGGTCTTGTGTATGTTTGTCCTTGCTTTCTATATGGAAAAAATGCTCAACCACTTCAAACTTGCACTTTATTGTACTAAAATTAAATGGGCTTTTAAACTGAATACGAGATTTTTTCCTAAACATTTTTATTTGAAACTCAGATTTTGATGAATTTTTCTAAATTTTATGCACAATTTTAAGTTTTTATATGTATATTAAACAAAAAAAATATTAATTTACAAAATTCTATATATATTTTGGAGGTAAGGTTTTGAACAACTTAAAACTTGCACTTCATTAACTAAACTTAAATAGGCTATTGAAGTGCATACTTGAAATTTTCCGAAAAATTTTGATTAAAAAGTTTGAAATTTTCATAAAAATTTAATAAACATTTTTAAGTTTTGTACAAAGTCTTAAACTTTTATATTTAATTTTTTTTGAGTGATAGTAAGGTTTTGAGCTACTGAAAACTTGCACTTTATTATACTAAAATTAACTGGGCTACTAAACGGCATAATCAATTTTTCTTTAATCATTTATAAATAAGTTTGAGATTTTAATGAATTTTATAAATTTGGTACAAAATTTAAAGTTTTTTGTTACAGATTGAGCTATGTATATTAAAAAAAAAATATTTAATAACTTTTTTTTAATAATTTAAAAAGTTTACCCCATTTTTTGTTTAAGTGGTGATAAGGTTTCTGGCACATTACTTTACTAAAATTAAATAGGCCATTCAATTACATACTCCAAATTTTGATTAAAAAGTTTAAAATTTTGATTAAAAAGTTTAAAATTTTCATGAAAATTTTATAAATTTTCTAAGTTTTATAAAAAGTTTTAAGATTTTGTTTATTTAGTTTTGTTGCAGTGTGAACTATATTAAAAAAAAATATTATTTTTATTAATACAAGTATATAAAGCTCTACCTAATTTTTTTAAGCGGTGGTAAGGTTTGCGTGGCCACAAGTGTAAATATATATATATGTACATACATACATGTGTATCTATATAGTAATTTATGATTTTATTCACCACTTTAATATTTAGTAAAAGAAAAAAATATTTACAACAAAAATATAAATAAACAGTTTGAATGCATTTAATTATTTTTCTCATTACTAATATCTTACACGTATTTCGAAAGTGCATTAACTCGAAATTGCACAGTTGTCAGCAAATAGGAAATACTGCTTCTAGGAGCGTACCAATCATACTATAAAGGACGAATTTTTAAAAAGTCTTTGCGAAATATGAATTGAATTTTCGGTCAATATCGTAGGCTCGACAAAGTCAATCAATGTTCAGAGTGTTCAAACAATTTTTTTCTTAACTTACTTCGATCAAAATTTAACTATCTACCAAAACAACTTTTATTAGCAAAATAACTATTTTAACGAACATATCAACATTTAAATAATAAAACTTGAAATTTGATTTTACCAAAACTTTTATAAAATAGACATAGACATAATGTAAGCATTTTTTCTTCATGAAAAAGAACCTATTTGTGAGGAAATAATTTCGTATACATATACATACAAACTATAAATTTGTTAATTTTCACCCATAAATATTACGATAATGGCTTTTCTAACAAAAATCGCAATTATCTTCCCCTAAAATTATTTTTTTGTTTGGCATAATGCACCTTGTTTTTAACCGACTTCCAAAAAAGGAGGAGGTTACCGCATAACTTTGGACTACGTCAACCGATTTCGATAATTTTTTTTTGCATCGGAAAGGAAGTGCCCCATACTAATCTGGTTTAGATCCGATCATTGGATCATGAAATAAATATATATATATATATTTTTTTAAGTCGGTTTTTTGCTAAAAATTACTTGTTTCTATTAACAATTCAAATTAGAAATGCATTTTATATAAACTGTGAACATTTTTCGTACCTAAACAAATTTGAAGTTAATACCCTTTTGAAAATAGTACGCGTTTATTGTTTTGTTTACAAATGCATCTACAAAAACTTAATTACGTACATACGTACATATGTATGTATGTGTGTGTATGCACGATAGCTCAATTAATTCTACAAATTTATATTTAATTACGCGCAATAAACGGCGTTGAAATCGAATAAAAACCATAATACAGATGTACGTACATTAGGGTGCCTCAGCAAAAAATATTGCGAGGTTTCCAGCGAAATTATAAAAATGTATTATAATTTATGACTTTCGCCAAACTATTTCCGAGAAATATTTAAATTTAGTTCTAAAATAATTTTTGTTTTTCGAAACTCTCCCTAGATCTATTAAGTTTAAACTCTTCCATCATCTGAGAGATTTTATCATCATCGTACAGATTTTAAAACAACTTTCACTTCTTGAAAATACTCAACTCCACAACTTTTTCTTGGCTATTTATCGAAAATTTAGTAGACACCTGTGTTAGGAAAAATTGCTATCTTCAGAGATATGAATTACGATTATTTACCGAAATGAGCCATATTAGAAATTCAATATATTTGGTTCTAGTAATCGTACAGAAATGGTTGTTTTGTTTAATAGCTGAAATATTTGCTAGATAACTGCGTAAAATTAGTATTTTAATTTATATGTTAAAAAAAGCAACAATTAATGGAATGGATCAAAGAATATATATAAATTCCGCTACAATTTTATCTAAAAAATTAAATTTTTTCTAGGTTGAAGCCTCTTATAGTTCAAAGGATATTAAATTATATCTGGCGCGAGTCACCAAAATATTTACCAAGAAATGTTTCATTTTTACAAGCATTTTTTTAATAAATCTTTATACATAGCTCAGAACCCGATGACAATTCAATATGAATGATGAATTAATCCGCTAGGTGGCACAGGTGTCGATATATTTAAAAACCCCTTATTTATGGTCGGATATGGTTCATTATTGGAATGCATATTACTCATGAAAAACAATAACTCCACAAATATATTGCCCGATAGGTGGCGCAGGAGTCCAGATATTTGGAAAATCCATATCTGTGGTCCGATTTGTTTCATATTAAGAACATAGTACAAATATTAGGTGGTACGGAGTCGATTTTTCTTTTTTTTTAACTTACCACTAATAAAAGCTTGGTAAAAGATCGACAAGCTAAGTCCGACAATAGATTATTATATACCCTTATATATCCTCTTCTCGGATCATCGATATTTCAAATCAAATCAAAAATAGTCATTCTAAAACTGATAAATCTACAAAATAGAGTTGTCTGACCTAAATCGACAGGACGCAACCCCCAAATGACCTTTAAAAAATCCATAAAAATAGACAGTAATATTTCTCATAAAAACGAATAAAATAAGGGGGTAGGGTCTTGAAATTTCAAAAAAAAAAATTTCGAGGGGCACCCTAATATACATAGGTACATACAAACATACATATATTGTAATTTTTTAATTGCTCCACTAAGTTCTAAATTTTTATTTTTTTCTAGACAATCGTCGCTTTGACTTTCGCACAATATGCGGCAAAACCATTCTTCGAAGACTGTTCCCCACCCGATTCAGCCGTAAAAATTTTAGCGGCAGTTTGTTTGTGTAAGTAAATTGGCAGAAGCACAGCGTAAATGAATTTTTTTATGCTGACAAAGAAATGCAATATTTTACTTAACTAATTATGGAATGCAAGACATCAGCGAATACACAGATATACCTACAGGTATATCTATAATATTTATAATTTTTTTTTTTGCATTTGTAAATATTATCTTTGATAACCCGTCACTCATTTTACATACTTGTCAGCGTAAATAAATCATTTGCGGTTTACTATATTACGTATTTGCAATTGTAATTTAATACTTACTAAAAAAAATTGCAAATAAATCAATTTCTCATTACTCGTATTTATTTACATACATACTTTTAGGTTTGCTCACTGCCATTAATTGTTTATCTGTCAAATGGTCGATGAAAGTTCAGGACATTTTCACTGCTGGCAAACTCTTGGCGCTAATTATGATTATTTTGGCAGGCCTATACTATTTGATGTTGGGTCGCTTTGAGAATTTCGAAAATGCCTGGGAGGGTAATTATGATGCGGCTAATATCGGATTTGCTTTCTATTCGGGTCTCTTTGCATTTGGCGGCTGGAATTATTTGAACTTTGTGACCGAAGAGCTGCAGGATCCATACAAGTGAGTATATGAACTATAACTGGACTATTTATAGCATTAAATGGTAAGAAAAGGGCTGCTAGTTGTAAAAATTTTCGAAATTGTTGGGTGTGTCGCAAAAACGTGGAATACAAAGTCTGTCAAATAGGGGAGGAATCTAAAGGTAAGCTAAATGCCACACTTCAGGATTAGAACCGTAGGTCGCTGGAATACTACCAACAAAGGGAAATGCATATCTGTGCTACCCGTTAAGGAGCCATTAACTTTAGCTTTACAGAAAATTTAGTGGTACATTCAAACCTGATTTTACGAACCTGCGCACTGCTGAACAATTTCGTATGACTTTACGATTTACGGATATCCAGCTCTACAGGGAAAAATGCCACCATGCCACAGCTTGATATCGTAGACAAATGCAAGACTGACAGTATAGAAATAATGGATGAGTCATGGTTGCAAACAAATTTACAGCGTGCAACATCTATTACAGCTGCCATAAGATGGTGCGACGCACAAAGCTGGTGTGGGATTTATGGTGATTCCGATACCTTCCCTTCAGGTTCATACGAATCAGCCAAAGGGTTAAATATAAAAACAACAACCTAGTTTGTATGCACGCCCGACGGAGGAGAAGTACAATGGGATATAAGAGCATTTTTCTGAGCACCTTGGAGATATTTACGTCCTTAAGGCCAGGGTTGACAAATAAATCATATTTGGCCCAGGTATCTAGCAACGAAGTATAAAAACATCCATAACGCTACTAGAAAGATCGACGCCGCGAAGCTGCAGTCACAGTTTGCAGCCAGGAAATTCCGATACCGGCTCATAATCCGGCTTAAACCAGCACCACGCTGTTATAAATAAATCAGCAGTGGGAATCCATTATCCATTTTCTCGTCGTATAGCTGCGTAAAAAATGGTTGGTTTGAACCGAGCAAAGCCCCTGCCGCAGGGAAATTGCAGCATAAAACCCAATAGCAAGCGACCGTTGAGCTATACTGGGAGAAAGAGGAGGAAGGAGAAACGTAAATTCAATATGAAGAAACTACAGGCAGATAGATGTAAGCGCGAAATCGCAAATGTGTCAGAAAATAAGGTTACAATCAAATGGTTTCTATACCGCAACTTTCTATAGTGACGAAGATCGAAATCTAATAAAATACGTCTAGAGTACACTTGAGAAACTTTGAACGAAAATGACGTCCCTCTTACTCGACCAAGCTATAAGACAAGAGCCTTCGTAGTCGACCGTATGCTTGGTGTGATGAAAACATGCCTGTAGATAGGAATATCAACGATTTTGCCCAATCCCCAAGAAGGAAAATCTTGCTGCCTGCGAGAGATTTATTTTTTTATTTCTTCTTTGTTAATTAATTTATGTATTTCTCAGTTAATTTTTTTTGAACTGTTTTTTTGTTTTAAAAATAATATATAGGTGCATATGTATATTAGGGTGCCCATCAAAAATGGTTTTTTTGGAAGTTTCAAGACCCTACCCCCTAATTTTATTCGTTTTTATGAGAAATATTATTGCCTATTTTTATAGATTTTTTAAAGGTTATTTAGGGGTCGCGACCTGTCGATTTAGGTCAGAAAATAGGATTTTGTACATTTATGAGTCTTTGAATAACTAATTTTTGTTCGATTTCAAAAATCGAATATGATCTGAGAATAGGATATATAGGCCTTTAAAATGGTGTATAATTTCAAAAATTTTCAATGTGGCGGTTAAGAAGCCTAAGCGCAATGTGTTCACCAAATTTGGTTGAGATGGGTCGAGTCGTTTTTGAGATACACTTATATGATATATGTAAGTGGGCGGTGCCATCCCCATTTTCCTAAAATTTCTTTGAAAACCACTTTTTTGCTAAAGAGCGATAGTCTAGATAAATTTTTTAATAAATATTGATGAATTCCTTAGCCACACCGCTCAAAAAAAATTTGAAATTCCGGCACATACACACAAATAAATTCAAGGCCGTATTTAAGAAAAGCCGCCGAACTTCGGCGGTTTTTATGCGATTGCAATAAATGAACTATCAGTTTATTTAAAAATAAATTTAATTTCTGATAGTACTACATATTTTCAAATTGTGGAAACTATCGATGGTCAAAATTTAAAAAATTAAGAGAAATATGTTTTTTTTTTTTAATTTATTCTATAAAAATCCCAACAAGCCAAGTCCGACAATCGACTATTATATACCATTTAAAGGCCTATATATTCTATTCTCAGATCATATTCGATCTTTGAAATCGAATCAAAAATAGTCATTCAAAAACTCATAAATCTACTAATTCGTAGTTTCTGACCTAAATCAACAGGTCGCGGCCTCTAAATGACCTTTAAAAAATTTATAAAAATAGGCAATAATATTTCTCATAAAAACGAATAAAATTAGGGGGTAGAGTCTCTAAATTTCCCAAAAAAAAAGTATTTTCGATTGGCACCCTAATGTATATGTATTTATTTTTTTGTTTATTTTAATTTTTGATACACAAATTGCCAAGACCTCCTCGTTAGCAGATCTTTTAATTCGAAAGTGTCTTTCAAGATATTTAGTTACCAGAATTGACAATTGTCTTGCGAAAGACTTTTGTTACGCATCTAAATTCCTCAAAAAACTTTTTCCATTTCCAGAAGAATTTCACTTACTCTTAATTGCAAATTTTCCTACAATTTGTCTTTTTTTTTAAGACTAACCTAATGTCAATTCCATGGAATCATTCATTAAAAATAATAAAGTGTTGTGTACGCACTTTATGTATTTAAAGCTTATGTATGTATGTATGTATCATTTGACTTTAATTTTCTCAAGTAACGTAAATTTACTGCTTGCGTCATTCGAGTAAAACTCGTATCCTTAAAAGCGTCCTTTGCGAATTCTTATCCTGTTTGTATTTTATATATGTACGAGTATCCTTTGCAACTTTTTTCTATAGATATTGAATCACGTTGAAGTGGCTTTATTGCGTATAAAAGTGGAATCCTTAGAAGCAATATTGCGATGTGTATTTAAATGCGAATGTAAGAGACAAACATACGTATTAGGGTGGTCCATAAAAAATGTTAATATCTAAATTTTGAATGGGGCATCTCTTTATTTTGTGCTAGGTATTAAATAAAGACAACCACGAAAATATCAAAATTTTAAAATAATTTTTAGTGGGCACTACCCCAGTCTTTGGAGCTTAGTATTGCAGAATGAATCCATTTGGCGCTAGCTAAGAATTTATATGAATAATTCTCAATAATGCAATGTTAAATTTAAATACTTTAAAAAATATTTTAAAATTATGCAACTTTCGTGGATGTCTTTATTTTGTATGAGGAACAAAATAAAGGGATAATTCATAGAAAATATAAATGTTGGTATTTTAAGAAGCACCCTAATATATATGTACATACATATGCCATTTAGCAAAAGTCTGTGTGTTCCTAGAAGAAAACGTTTAACTGTGCATGAAGGTCATGTATTTTGTATTGGAAATTCAAGTGGTTTTGTATGTTTGTTCACTTTCATTCATTTGTCTTTGTCAGGGCTGTTTAAGAACCACCAGTTGATTGTAAAAGAGGTATAAAAGAATAATGTGCATACACATATACAAACATTCAAAGACACATACCCACCAGCTAGCAGAGAAACGTAAATTTTGTCGAGTGTGCGGTCTCGTACAATTTTCCGTGTCCCGAAATGAACAGAAAACGACTACAAATTCAATAAAGTAAAATAAAATAAATTTAATTCAAATTTAAATAAATTGCATTAAATTAATTAAGTAAAATAAAATAAAATAAAATAAAATAAAATAAAATAAATTAAAATAAAATAAAATAAAATAAAATAAAATAAAATAAANAAATAAAATAAAATAAAATAAAATAAAATAAAATAAAATAAAATAAAATAAAATAAAATAAAATAAAATAAAATAAAATAAAATAAAATAAAATAAAGTAAAATTAAATTAAATTAAATTAAATTAAATTAAATCAAATTAAATTAAATCAAATTAAATTAAATTAAATTAAATTAAATGGGGAAAAAATAAAATATAATAAAATCAAACAAAGTGACAAATAAAATTAATTTAAATTAAATGACTAAATTAAATATATTACAATACATACAATAAAAAAATAAATAAAAACAATCACATGTGTGTTAGTGTTGTGTTATTTATTTTGCAACTCCGTATTAGATATCCGGATAACAAAATAGAGCGGATATTAACCGGGTATCCGAATATATGGATAGTCCCAGTCCTAATTAATATGTTTGTACTCGTACTTACATATGTATGTAAATACATATACGTACATATGTAGAATATGCGCTTGACACTTGTTGAGCAGAGATGATTTGCAATTCATGAGGGCTCATTGAATATTTTGCAGAAGCGTGTGGCTAAGTGACTGACTGCCAATGAAATGTACCAGATAAAATATATGCGTCGGAAGATGAATGCCTATTCAAATGAAACATACATACTTCCGTATAATCGTGACGAAGGCTGAGGCAGGCAATATTCGTGGCAATAAAAAAATTTAATTTTTAAGAAAAAAAATTTTTTAAGGGTGGGTTGGCTAGAATGGTTTGCCACTCTGTTGTTAGGCAATAAGCAAAATACTTAGCCCGTTTGAAAATGGTTAGCGGTTTTAAGGAATATCGTTAAATTTACTTATGTATAAGCAGAGGCGGCCGCATTCTAAAAAGGTGGCAGTATGCAGGAATGTTTGACCAAGCCTTTTTGTGCAGCCTTACTCTTGCACGGGTCGAACACTCGATGAGGCAGTCCTCAGCTATCTCTTCAGGGTGGGACCTTGCAATTTGGCAGAACCGATAGACAGCCGTGATTTTGTACTTTCGTTGCTCGTTCCTTAAAGAGTCCTAGTTTTAAGTGCGTTGTAGATGCTCCTGATCCATCGGCTAATTCTATAATATCCTGCACAGTTCCACCTCTGATTAGGTTTCGATTAGCAAATTTTGGTAGTTCTGCTTTTTGTTTCTCTGCACTACCCTGCAAATGTATGGGACGTCTTAAGTGCAGGAGCGCACTTCTCTAAGCCTTGACTAGACAAAGCCATCAGAAATAAGGAATTTGAATACCATGGCGGATTCTTTAGGGAAGCCGAGCGTTTCTTGGTCATATGGGGTTGTGCACTTCTTTAGAGATACAAAATATCTTTCAGGTCGAAGTGTCTCTTGTTCTGACACATCCGTGCATTTAGCCAACTACAAATCTATCTCTATGTCAGCCTAGGATGACCGAATTTAAAAGCACTTGACCTAAATAGCGTTCAAATAGCCAAAGGACCACGCGAGGTTCCTTAATGATACGTGGTTTAAATAAGACCTATCCAAATAGAGGTCTTTTAGAAGAGATTTACTGATCCCTACTCTTAATATTAAACGAATGTAATCTAGGGAGCGCATGCCTTCGCTCATCAGAATGCATAGAGTCGGGCGTCTATTCAGGTTAGTTGTGAGTCAGTCAGTCAGTCATATTCTCTGCTTATTTTTAAAACCATCTTGCCGTTTGGAGTCGGCGTAAAACGATAGGTCCCTCCCCTTTATGTGACAACATCGAGGCGCACGGCACAGATCGGAAGAGAAGCTCGACCTAACATCTAGCAAAAGTCTAGGCACTAAAATATTATTATTATAAGCCTGAAAACACTTGAGCGGAAGGAAAAACTCCGAGTCTCTCATAATTTAAATAAAATAGTGTCCTTTATACATGAACTTAGTGATAAAAGTATTGAATTTTGTTTACTATATTTTCTACTTTTCCTCACCAGAAATCTTCCACGTGCCATTTGGATCGCCATGCCGCTGGTCACCGGCATTTATGTACTGGTGAATTTGGCTTACTTTGTGGTGGTGTCAAAAACCGAAATGCTCAGTTCACTAGCAGTCGCAGTCACATTCGGTAATCGCGTTTTCGGACCACTCGCCT